ACAGAATTTAAACTAGGAAACCCTGCTCACTCACCACCCTGATTGCCATGTGTCATCTTTATTTTAAGAAGTCCATATTATGCAACAGGAAAAAAAGATTTTTTTGTTTATGAAATATATAATTTTGTGCAAGGACATTTTGTTAATCTTAACAAAAATGAACAGCTAATTGGATCTGAAAAACTATTAACCTTACTTGAAAAGAAAAAGCATTTAAACTTCGGAATATAAAATGTGTGGTATGATAAGCAGTAATAAAGGAGTTTTTTTTTTATTTGTTAGCAACATATACTGATAACTTTAAATTGTATAACAGTTAAAACTGGAAACAAGTTATTTCTTGAGTTATTTATACTTCTATAAGTTCCGCAGTGGACTGATCGTTAAGACACGGCTCCCAGCAGATCACCGAAGTCAAGCATCACTGGCTATGGTCAGTGTGCGGGTGGGTGACCACTTGGATCAGCCTGCGTAGGGACCAAGGGTGTGCGGTATTGGTCCTCGTTAAAGTGCTCGACTTCGCGTGCAGATCGTCGGGCTATCGAAGCGGGGGTGCCATCCCCTCTGCAGAGGATTAAAATTGTGATGGCATGTCTTCGGATCATCCTCAGGGATGTTTCCCAGACCGTCGCCAATAGCCCATTGTGCAGCTCTAGTGCGACGTAAATGAACAACTTTTAAAAATTTTGATGTAGATGTTAATATTTATAATTGGCCTAATCAGACTCTCTTATTTGTTTTGTTTATTCATTTTTTTATACTTAAACATTTTTTTCATAATTTTGGACCTTTTTTTTAATTCATTTTTTTCAACCACTAGCTTATAAAAATGACGAGATATCTCAATGAAGATAAATTTATTTTTTTACAAGTCATTATTTAATGCAAAAAAAGTGAAAAAAATATTTACAAAAAGAGCATGTGAATTTGTGATGACTTTCAAACGAATTGAAATTAAGAAAAATAACTTGTGTTATATTCATAAATGAAAATGGTATTTTGATTGATAGAGCTATATTTTTCTATTAATTATGGTTATCAATTAATGCAGTTTCAATAATTTAAAGCTATATTTAAGTTATAGTGAGGCTTTATAACTAACACTGAGATAAGTGCATTTTATTAACATCAGTTGACCAACTAAGATTTTTTTCTTTATGTAATTTTTCTCACCTTTTTCTTCAGTTTAATTTAGATCAAAGGAAAATTTAGATTCAAAGGAATTAAAACACTTGTGTCTTAAACACAAAATATTGTGTATATAGGGAAATTCTATGAATTATTTGTTTCAAATGTAACCTTAAACATTTTTCAATACTGTACAACATGTCTTCATGGAAATCTATTAAAATGAACAACAATGGGTCATACTCGTGCACCAAAGACTTTTTAATGAAATAAATTATTTACAAAAAAAAAAAACAATTTTTTATGTTATTACACATTTAGGAAACATGAAAGTTCATAAATATCTCTTTGAAACAATATAAAATACATCAAATATACTTGTTTATTTTTGTTTAAACAAAATAAAGTAGTTTTTTAAATTTAAATACAGAATACTTTTGATCTCCATTAAAAATTTTCAATAAGAAAATAATAAGTTATATTCATCACAATTTTTTTTCACCTCTTCATATCAATTTAAATTGGTTGTGAGTCGAAAGACTTTATACAATGTGTAACGTGATTGTTAGTTGGCATAAAATATCAAAATACTTCTGCATTTTTTAAAAGACACTCACAGAAGAGCAAAAAAAAATTGACATCCTTAGCACAGAAAAAATATCACATAACTATTCACCTGAAGAGAAATAAATTTCTACCCACTGCTCAAGGAAAAATTGCAGAAAATAAATATTAATTGTCTGCATCATTTATGATAAAAAAAAATTTCAAAGAGTGAATAAAATTGGCCTAACCATTTTTTTTTTCCTGGAAGCTTAATTTCTGTTATTTCAAACAATCAAAAGTGAAAAACTGTTATAAATTAGAAACATTTAAATCATAAAAATTACCTTTGTTTTTTAAAAAGAAACATTAAATAAATTTAAAAACAAAAGGACAATTTTGTGTGAAAGCAAAGGGATAAAAATTACATATCATCCAAATTATACATTTTAAGCTTCCTACTAATAGTGACCGGTACACGTTAAATCTTTTGGGTCACAAAGTCTTCCAAAGAAACCTCTGAGGGTACTAGATTGGAGATTGATCATTCTCTGCTTTGGTTCAAAATTACGATCTGTAGATCTATGAAGAGTCTGCTCAATAAACTGGTGTGGCAAGAAGTCGAATTCTTGGCCAAAGAGGGCGCCACTGGAAAACAAAAACAATCGCACCCTCAGTGCCTTAATAGGGTACGACAACAACAACAAGGCTCCTACTGATTTTAATGATCTTTAGGGTTGCTCTTGTTAAAGGAATCAAATGCTATTTGAAACTCATTATAGCTCATAGAAAATATTATTTCATTCTTTAAATCAAATTAAATATAAACTGAAAATTGCTGTCAATAACTGATTGTTATTGAACAAACAATAATATTAAATCATATTAAGAAACTTTATTTATAATTAGTAAATATTAAACAACTAGCTTTTATGTTAAACATAATGTAGTTGATATATCACAACCAATTGAATTTGATATTAAGCATATTTAAAATGTTATTAACATATAAATGGTACATTCTGAGATATATTTTCTTTTTATAAAACTTAGATAATAACAATGAGTTTTGTCATCACTGGCAATTACAACATCACAATAGCATTTTATAATAAACACCAATATATTTCCTTTAAGTTTTGATTTTTTCCAAACTTAAATATAAAATATTACATCCAATCTCTGTAAATGCTGATGGGTTTTTTTTACGTATTAATTGTATGCATATAACAAGAAAAAATATTTGGAAATACAAATTGCATTCAGATACAACTTCAGTACACATAACAATGTAACACTCTATCATATAAGCTCAATTTAAAAAAACAAAATAGACATCAAAGAACATCCTCAAACATTATATATATATATAAAATTATAGTACTACTTAAGACATTTTTATCTCAACTTCATACTATTTATAAAGTGCTTAATAACAATTATATTTTCACCATAACAATTTACAAATAATGCTTATAAATACAGCTGCTCTAAAATTGTAAGTGTACTCACATTCATTTAATTTAAAACCAGCCATTTATTTATTAATTTTCAAACAAAAATTCTGAAAAAAGAAATTGATATTTATTTCCTGAAAGTTTCAAGTGATTGTACATTTAGAATTCATACAAAATTTGATAAACTTTAATGTGTCAAATAAGTGAATGCCCTTTTAACATTCTGGTTCTTTCTTCAGCAAGCAGAAAATTGCATTTCTTGTTGTTGAGTAGAAAATTACATTTTCTGCCCAACTATCTAATTTTCAACATCTCTTTACTAAGGGAAAAGGAAAGGAACAACTGCACAAATTTGTAAAAGAGCTAAGGGACTAATGGCTGATGAGAGATGACCATTATTGAAAGAAAAAAATTTCTTAATGAACATTTCATGCATCAGATACTATTTATATGTAACTATATTGCACATAATGAGTATTTTTTGATATGTTTGTTACAAAATATGAACCATAATTTTGATTTCTATAACATATTACAGTGACTTCGTTCCTTTTTAAAAAATTTATGAAATTACCCTTAGTTGAGAAATTTTGATTCAGATTATACTATATGCAACAGTTAAAGTCAAATTAAATTCTTTAGTAGGACAGAAAAATTAAATTATTTTTAATTTTTGTAACTTTTTTTCTAAATATTCAAGAATATAAGACAACAGAAATAAAAATAAATGGAGAAACAAATTCCCAGAATATTGGGGAAAAAACATACATTGAGGTTGAAACTACTTTGCTTAGTTTTATCAATTTTCTTGCCTTTCTGAAATGGTGGGATGCTTATGCTTTACCAGTAACATTGATTGCCATAAGTTGCTATGCCAAAAGCACCTTGAGCAAAGTTACATTTGTGGAAGCCCAACTACACAATGTTTAGGAATTACTTCCCATTAAGTCATTATTGACAAAATATGTTCATATTTATGTTCAGATCTGCTGTAAAAAGAATTTTTTAAATTCATGTGCTGATCCTTAAGTTTTTGATGTGGGGCATCTCAATCAGCTTTAAAAATGAAGAGTAGTAAGTGTTCTCTCTATATAAATAAAATTTAAAAAAATAAAATTACATAAACAAAATTTAAAAGCAACAATATGACAAATCATATTTTTAACATAAAGTTCATATTTTTTTTAAGAATCAGAGTTCTTACTGTGTCATATAAGTATACAGTTTATTTTAATTTTGCATTTTCAGGGCATTAAACTTGGTCTTACGTAATGTGATTGCAGTCCATTCATACAGTAAGGATGGATATCTATTACTTTATTTAGCTGTTTATAAATGGCAAATGTATCTAAATGCTTAACAAAACAAAATCTTAACCAGCCCTTATGCTATTCTAAAATAATAATAATAATAATAAATTGTTAAATCTAAAACAAAATCACATTCTCATGTCTTCTCCCATGTCAATATTCAGCTCCTTGATCCGGTTTCTAGATCTCCAGACTTTGAGGGTGAAATCATCACTGGCCGTTACCAGCATTTCAGGATCTTTAGGGTTGAAAGCCACAGAGTTGACCACATCTGTATGAGGCAGCTTCGCCAGGCAGTTTCCATAATGGCGATCCCACAAATATCCACGTTTATCCTCAGCACCACTGAAACCATAACAATACATTAACTGAAAAAAAACTTTTTTTTTTCTCCTCACCATAAGTGAAAATTCTCAAATGTGATGAATAACACATACAGAGTAAGTAAAACAATAGTTTTAAACAATTTATTAATTGAACAGAAGATATAACACAATGTGGACTAAATCTTAAAGACAGTTTGAAACACAACTTTATGTAAAACTATGATTATCCAACACCCAGAAGTATGTCAAAAAACTAAAATTCCAAGATAGTAGGGAGTACTCAGTCAATTAATTTTTTTCTTCCATTTTACAAAATGTTAACCGTCACAAAATAAAAATAACATTGAAATTTTTATAAAACTAATTATTTCATTTTATAAAGTACTAAGTTAGCTGATAACAACTTTTATCAAAATTTACACTTAACAAAATTTTAAAATAATATTCCAAGTTACTACTAAAACCTAAAAAAAATTCAGACTTTCTTTTAACAATATTAGAAAATTTTAAATATTTTTTTCTAAAAAAAATCAAAATTGTGTACTGATTTTTTACTAATTAAAAAAGACATGCATGCTGTTGGGCAACTGAAAAATAAACAGTGCTTCATCATAGATTTGAAGAAAAGTGATTTGACAACTATTTTCTTTCCCTTGCTAATACTAACAACACAAAAATAAAATCTTAAGAATCTGATGAAAAAAAATTATTTTTTGAAAAAAAAGCTTTGCAATATTTAACCAGTTATAACAAAATACTAAAAAGCCAACTATACAAATATCTCAATTTTGAATTTTCTGTTTCTTACGTTGACTTTTCTATTGCAAAGCAATATGACAAAAATAAATAAATAGAAATCTTTTGTTAAAAGATTTCAGCATTATCCACTAAGTAGTTTGTCAATTATTTATGTTATGCTTGAAATAAAAAATAAAACAGGTTACCTAGCAACATATTGATCACTAACATCCAGAAAAATGAAGAAACATTCATCGTTTGGAGTGTAAGCTTTATGAGATCTGAGCATAGTACCAACTTCTTTTAGAGTGCAAAGATCAATGACATGTATATCTATCTCTTGGGCTATGGGTGGAGGGCTTAATGGATTATCTATCACATAGTTCTGAGGCCATGGCCTACTGTTCACATACAGGTATCTATGAGAAAACACAAAATAATTAAAGCTATTGAAAGAAATCCACCAAGAATTGCTTCATTGAAACTTTTGCTGTTTATGACTAATGATTGGTAAAAGTAAAACAAGCAAATGCAGTGAATTTAGATTAAAAAAATAGTTTTTCTTAAAAAAAAACTTAATGTAACTTTTAGGTTTTAAAATGTTTTCCAACCATTTCAAGCATAATTGTTAATTTAATTTTTCCACATTGATCCAGCTAGCTTCAACATTTGGTAAAACTTTTTTTTAAATTTAGCTTATAACTTTTTTATCAATTGAATCTCAAGAAGAAAAAAAAAACGTTTTACAAAATTAGTCAAATAGTTCTTTAAAAAAACAAATTTAAACATATATATATATTTTTTTAAATTTAATTCAGAAACTGTTCTACCAATTGGAATCATATTTTTTTAATTGCAGCAACCACCCATATTTTGAAGTTCAAAAATCCAAATCCATCGGAAAAACGAATGTTTTTTAAGAGCAAACTGTTTTTGTCTAATTTTAAATTTGAAATATTGTTCGAACAAATAAATTAGCATATTTATAGTAAGGCCCTCCAACCATTCACATTGAGTCTTTGTACATGAAGATCGGATCATTAGATTAAAAGTTATTCAGGGTGATTATTTTTTGTGGCTTGTAAACAACTTTATAATCGATAAAAAAATTTAGATATTAAGACCCATTTTTAATTCAAGCACACATTTTCTGTTAAATACTAAAAAATTACAATTTAGGAAAAAGATAAACATTCCAAGAATTAGAAAAACAATCCAAGGATTAAGTAAATGTTCAAAGAGCCCAAGTGAGGAATTCAACAACCTGAATATCCATCCACTAGCTGTGCTACTGCTTAAGTGTCAAGTTAAGTGTCACTACTTTTACTCAATGAAGTTATACCACTAATAGCATTTTTGGCTCTTTGTTTGAAAAATATATTCAGTAATGAGTGAGTGATTTCCAAATGATTTTGCTTACAATTTTTTGTAAAACAAGTCATTCTGTTGGCGATCCCTTATAGTCCTGGTAAAAACAAGTAAAAATAAATTTTAATATCTGAAAATGTTTGATATCATACATAAGAATAAGAAAAAGAAACGAAAAATCTGAATTCTGTATGTATTTGCTATTCTGATTACAGAAAAGAAAACTATTTTAGCCAAATACAATTAAAATAATAATAATAATAATTCCGAGATCTAAAACTGCTATTTTAAATTTCTATTCTTAAAAACTTTTCTTGAATAATTTTATGAACAGGGGTCTGTTCAGGTAGTTTTTGAGTTAAAAATGAAGTTTTTTTTTCCTTCTTTTCCATGATTTCATTACAATATACATTCTTTCTCAAACCGCCCATCTTTTGATCATTGTACTTTTAAAAAGATTGCATGATGAGGAGAAGCTCATTCCCTTTGAAACTATTTTTTGTGCATGGTGTCTTATGAAGTTTTAATTTATATTTATTAGTTTAACACCAGTTTTAATAATCGCAACAAATTATTTAAAATTAAGACATACTTTATTTATCCAAGAAAGTCACACATTAGAATCTATAACTAAGGATTTTTTTTCTTGGTTAATGGGGGCACTTGGGTCTATCTTCCCACCAGAATCCCATTTTCCAATCAGGCCTCAGAAAAGCCAGAATTGCTACTCTCTTATCATTACCCAGTGAGCACCTATGGCTAAGCCACGGCGTTGGAGTAGCGTCGTGCACGTCATACAACCACAAACCCGTTTATAGGGTGGGTTATATTCACTCAATCACGCAGAAGAAAGGACATAGAACACAGAGGGAGATAAAGAAACATCCATGCCCTGAGCGGGATTCGAACCCGCAACCATCGGCTCCTCAGTCAGGCACGCTAACCACTCGGCCACCTGGTCGGCTAACTAAGGATTATTCCTTTAGGCATTTACATATATACCTGATGTTGTTTGAAATACGTTAGTTTGAATTGTTCATACACCCTGAGGATAAAATATCAGAAATCAGATTTATAAAACCAGAAAATAAAAATTCAGGCATAAATTTTTTGACCTCTAGGAAATTTTTTATCTGTAAAAAAATAAAAGTTAGACAAGTGTGGAGTGAAAATACCTGTGGTCAGGAGAGAGTCCCATTCCAATGATGTGTCCATGCAAATCAATGACATGGTCGATTTTATCAAAGTAATGCATGACACTCTGCTCATCATACCAATTGGGAGATGCAGTTGGGTTTCTTTCTTGCCTCTCAGCAATACGCTGCACCAATGTGGGAGTCTCTGTGATTCGCTCAGCAAATCTTTACAAAAATATTTTAATGTACAAAACAGTTTTTATTGCAACAAAAAAATTAAAAAACAGTGCAACTTACTTATTGCAATACAAATTTAAGAAGAAGGTTAATTTTTATTATATAATAACTTTGAACATGAGGCTTTACTGAATGATACGTCGAGATGTAACGAATAATGATTAAGTATCCGGCAGCAGAATAGCAACATTTTTTAAAATCATTAATAATTATTACCTGTTATTCATAAGTAATTTTTCTCATTATTGAAGACTAATCAAAACTTAGCTATATTATTGGCATGGGATCTTAATTTAACTTTTTTACCTTGCCATATTTTTAGAAAAAAGTAACAATAAAAAATAATGATAATTAGAAACGCTCTTTAATGCAGAGTCATAATAAAAACATTGAAAAAGTTAATACAAAAACCAAACGGAACAAAAAGTTCATTCATAAAGGTGATTTCATACGTTGGTACTTTTTTCTCTTTAGAAGACTTTAACTTAAGAGAAATAATGCATAATGTAACGTGTGTAAATGCAATAAGCTTTAAAACTGAAATCTAATTGACAACAATCAAAAAGAAAGATCCAAAGCTTTGTCGAATTCACATATAAGTTGACTTTGACTTTTTTTAAACAAATTAAAATTTTTTGTGTTGAAATAATTCAACTTTAATCATTTACAATAAAAAAGCAAAAATCATTACATTTAAATGAATCTTAAAAATTGTCAGAAATAAGGAATTATTTTTACTTGAAGGGCTTAATCCGCTTGAATCCAATTTGGTGTGGTGTGTAAGTCAAAGAGCCAGTGGTAAAAATTAAGAATTTCTCTCTTGGGTCTAGAATTTTCCCAACACTCCCGTCCTCTTCCAAACTATCTCCTGCCTCACTCTCTTCTTCCTCTTGCTGAATGTTGGTCTTCTTCTGAGACAGTTTACGAGACTTCATCTTTCTTCGACCAAAATGCTGCTGTTGGCAGTTCTCTTCCTCTGAAGACACCAAAAATTTAGTTTAATTAGAATCAAGCTCTCTGAAGAAAGTTTCTCTTTTGAAACTACCTAACAAGGCATCATTTATATCTTATGAGAAGCGAGAATTAGTTAAAATGTTTTTCAATCACTTTAAAAACAGAATAGAGCCTTTTTAGAAGTTAGATGAAAAAAATTATGAATATCTGCTAAAAGATTTATATTTTGGGGTTTGAGATAAATGTACCGTTACCCTTCAAACTTTGGCAAGGCTGTGATCTTTTAATTGAATTTTGGTAACAGTTACCCAGGTTCAAAAATAGACAATTAATGAATTACATGAAACATTTAACCAGTAAAATTAAATTTCATTATAACTATAAATTTTTAACAAACACAACTTCAATCATTTCCAGATGCCTTCATGTGTACAAAAATTTCCAATTTATACACTTTTAAATTTCTAAATTGTTATACTCAAGATAAAACTTTTCGATAAAAAGCACTTTTAAATTTCATATGCATAACATTCAATTAATTCACACTAAAAGAGACAATTACGAAATAAAAATACTTGCTCATTCTAAATCTACAAAAACATTTAAACTTTAGGTCATTATATTCCTACAACCGATAATTAGAATCAAATATCCAAGGCTCATCTTAAAATAGGTATCTTAACACCTGATAGAAATAATTTAAAATTCGGGATAAAATGCTCTTCTAAAAAGTTACTAAAAAGGTAAGAAATTAGAGTTTATAAATACAAAAGGAACTTGCAGATCACCTTCTGGAACGCCCACCGGGTTTGCAGCTAGACTTGTGGAGTAGGAGAACTTCGAGTTTCCGCCCGCCATTCAATTCTTTAAGCCCTCCATTAGTAAGACAGAGTGCACCAGGGAAACATTCGATTTTCAGTCGAGGAACGCTCAATTCTTGCCAACCGCCTTAAACTTAGCGACATTCAGTCTATCACTTGAAAAGATTCAGTCTCACAATAGTTGACGGGAGTCAACTATTCTGAGGCTTCAGATTAACTTTCTTCCAGACAACAGCTCATCCGATCAATGTTGCGTACCTAGTCGTTGCATCCAGAGATTCTTTCCAAACATCAACCTTTCAGCATTTCAGCCTAGATCAACTCACTCCGAGACTCCAGCTATATCTAAACTCTTTCTCGATGATACCGGCTCAGAACACAATTCTAGCAGCCATGATAGATCCCGTCAGCGGTGATGTCTCAACCCAACATTCCATCGGGCACGATCTGCACTCCCGTCGCACTGCTTTCTCCGCCACTCTTCACGCCTCTTATACTCTTTTCAGCAAGGCGAAATAATCCATACTGACCTGTTTACTCGCTTAAAAGTCATTCCGTATCTCGTGAACATCAGAACAAAAAAAAGATCCATTAGAAAAAACAGTCACAAACCCTCTAATCCGCTATAAAAGTGATAATACAAATCTCCTTAAATGTTAATACAATTAACTATCCACAATCTACCCCATAAATCCCATTTTAAAAGGATAAATAAAAATTTCTCATAAAATATCATCATTTTGATTGCATTTAAATTTTATCATAGTGGTGCCCCCTATTGAAAAATAACCCTTCTTTAAAAAGTATCTATAAAAAAAAAACTCCAATAAATTCCTATTTATTACATAAAGTACCAATTCATGTACAAGATAATAAATCTATCTGTAACTAATGAATTTTGATTCAATAATGAAGTTATAAATGAAACCATATCTATTTTAACTATTGAAAAGAAAAAATACGGTTACCACTGAGTCCACTCCACTCTTCATCCCATGGAAGCAGGGGGTCTTCAAAGTCAGAGCTAGTGTTCTCTTCTTCTTCACTCGACTCAGATTGGACCTCAGCACGACGGTATTCTTGACTGTACCTTATCGGACTTTCCATGGTGCATGCCTCTTTACTCTCAGCAGTGAAGTGAACCTAGAAATAATACTATGTTCAAGTGCATGTTTCAAAAACACATTGTCAAGAAAATATAAAAACTCCCAACAATAATACACTTTTTTTACTATAGATTCACTGATTATTAGACTCTAGGTCAATTTTACTATAGTGCCCGCCATTTATTAAAATCACTTTCGTTTTATGCTCTTTTGATTTTATTAAGCGGCTGATTTTATTAAGAGGCGATTCAGCATTTGAAGAAAAAAAATCCCATTTTTAAAATTCTAAATGCACACACTTCAAAAGCTGAAATAATGACAACATTAATGCTTTATTCAACTAATTTAATTATTTTAATAAAGTAAAACCCTATATAAGATTAAATTTACAAAACTTTTGCAAAAAACCGATCAATGGTTGCTTGAGTTGCACTATTTAAAATTAACTTTTCAACATCATTTGAGAGTTTATAGAAGTTTTTATAGTTTTCGATATTTCCTCCTCTTTGTTCTAAAGCTTGCCGCAATACATTAAGTGCTTTTCTGACTTCCGTTGAAGATGGCACTGATGAGTTTATTTCATCTTCTGAGTCTGATTCCTCCATTTCTTGATTGGAAATAACTTTGCAATTTTTGATGTCAGTAACAATTTCAGAATCAGATTTTTCTCCTGATGTTTGTAGGTGATCGTCAATAGCTACGTAACATGAAAAATTCTCGTCCATATCATTTTCTTCATTGCTGAGCATTTCTTCGAAACAGTTATCAGCTCCATCACCAGTGCTTAATCCACACTTTTTAAAGCAATTTGATATTGTTTGGGTTGAAACAATGTCCCATGAGTTACGAATCAAATGCATTGATTCCAAAATCGTAAGGGATTTCGATAGTTTGTTTGCAGTTAAGAGTTCCGAAGAGCTGTCACAGTCTATGTCACTAATGATTTTTTGAACAACCATTTTTCTGTAATGAAACTTGAATGATCTTATGATTCCCTGATCAAGGGGTTGAATAATAGCTGTAGTGTTGGGTGGCAAAAACACTAATTTAATGTTTTTCAAACTCAAGTCCTCATCAGCAGGGTGCGCAGAACAATTGTCTAAAAGTAAAACGACCTTTTCATTTTTCAGCTCCTTGTCCCATTCAAGAAGAAATTTTGTGAAGATGCTGGATGTCATCCATGCGTTATAGCTGTTGGCATAACTGGTGGGCAGGTGTTTTACTCCTTTAAAACATCGAGGTTTTAAACTCTTTCCTATCACTAAAGGATTTTTTTTCACAGTTCCTGTCATGTTGCATGTTAGCAGCACGGTTAGTCTTTCCTTCATTTTTTTACATCCACCAGTCGATTCATTTTTAAACAGCAGTGTGTGTTCAGGAAGTGCTCGGAAAAATAATCCTGTTTCATCTGTGTTGAAAATTTGCTCTGGTTTATAGTCTTTGATGAGTGTTGGCCACACGTTGTTTACCCAATCAGCGGCAGAGCTAAAATCAGCATCTTGCTTTTCACCATGCAATTTACGATAGACAATGTTGTTGCGTTCTTTCCATCGGGTTAGCCACCCATCTGTAGCTTTAAAATCAGAATCACCAAATAAGTTAGCAAAATCCTGTGCTTTGTGAAATAAAATTCCACGGGAAATTGGAATTCTTCGTTCGCGTGCATTTTTGAACATTCAATAAAAAGTAAGATAAGAATTCAACCCCTTCGATCCCCTGTTGAGTGAGATGGGTTTCTCCAAACTTCATTCAAGTCAAGGAATTGACACTGTTAAATTGATTTCTGCGAACTCGCCGCTTACCACCCACATTTTTCCTTAACTCTTACACTATGTATATCACAGGAAAGTGCTAACCACACCTGTTTTAGAGGTTTGTGAGTAACTGTTGCTTCTTCTAAAAAAATCTTTAAACTTCGAAAAATTAAAATTTTATAAATAAGAACAAAAAAAGCTAAAATATCGCACTTTTGATTTATTATGTAGTCAAAATTTTGATTTTAAAAAGCGGCGGTGTTGATTTTATTAAAGGATGTTTTTAACATGTATTAATATTGTAACGATTCAGGTCTTGCCGATTTGATTTTATAAAGCGGCTGATTTTATTATCCGGTGATTTTATTAGCGGCGGGCACTGTATATACATATTTTGAAAGATGTAATAATAATTTATGAAGAAACTTACAGACATTACTAATAAAGTTAATAATGCCAAATACAAAATAATATTTTTTTAAGAAACTCAAAATAAGAGATGAAAGGAGTACAAATTACAAGGCATTTTTCCTTCTGCTTCTGTCAAAGTAAGATAAGTAGAATCAAGGCTAAACAAAGAATTTATAGTAGCAAGGTTAAATTTTACCATTGATTCAATTTTTGCAAGTATCAATTTATATAATTAAAGTTAATTTCAAATTTTTGTCAATGCTTATTCGAACTAAAAACCAAATGTAAGTAGTTTTATATTTTTCTTAATCTAAGCTAAATGTGAAGAACACTTTGACTTAAATTGTAGAATTTTGCTAACATACATAAATATAAAGAAAAATTTAACAAATTAAAAAGTATTTGCCTTCCTTTAAGGAATTTTAGGCTTTGGAGAGTCCTGGTCCTTGGAGAAATTGTCTCTGTTGAAAAAATTGGGTCTACTGATCAGCGACCGTTATATAAGAGACTAGAAAGGAGGACAGAGCATTACGACTGGTAGTATGAGTGTTACAAACCCAGTCACAATACAGTATTTAAACTTCAGTCAACAAAAAATCATTCATTTACCTTAATATCCTGGGGAAAAGAACCTTTGGCCAGTTCTAGTGTCCGCCCTCTCACACGAGACCAGTTATTAGCTGCCACAGCATCTCTGGACACAGGGTTTCCGTGTGTAACAGTTTCAGAAGATGAGTGGGGTTCTTTAATGCTGTCAAGTTTGAAATCTGACATGTGACAGTTAGCCACAGTAATAGTACGTATTGAGCTGGCTTTTCTGTTGTAAAACTTAAACAGACGCTTCACAATGGGCTTTTTTTCAGATTCAGATTCCTGCCATGCCTTGTTTAACCACAATGCTGAACAAGAAACTAAATGTCCAAGAAAATGAAGTCTCCCAGACAGCAGATATTCATCTGTGTACCAGGTACCAAAAATATCATATGGCTTATTCAATACACGACACTGGAGAGTAAAATTTCCTAAAAGAAATAGTCATTTAAGATTAAATAATAAAATATCGAAAAAAATAAGAAATTTCAACAATTTTGCTCAGATAAGTTTTTCAGAAGTAGAAAAATAAATACAGCAGAAAAATTTTCAAGAGTTTTTATACTAATATTTATTCTACACAATATCTTATGTTAAATTTCATCAACCACAAACCATAAAACACAGATTACGCCACTATATTGAGGTCGGAATTTCAGGGCTGCCACTGGATGAAAACAAGAAAAATAGTTGCTTTAGTTGCATCATATATGAAAAAAAAGTCTCCTAAATAGTCTCCAAGATATATAAAATAGTGGCTAACATCATATCCTCTTCGAATATAATTTTAATTACTTGTGCTGTAATAGCATAAAATTCAAATAACATGCAGTTAGATACTCATATTTTATAAAAAATGTACATTTATTTGAGGATTTGCAAACAATATATTCTTTCACACTACGCATAAAAACAGGTAGTTTTATTTTTATCTGTTACAGAACAGTTGAATTTGAAACTTGAATTTCCTTTCTCAGTTCTAATTTGCAGCTGCTTAGTTTAGATATTTAAAAAAAAAAGAAATATTGCAATTTAATTCCGTTTTATTTTGTTTATTTTTCATAACTGACACATTTCCAAATTTTAATGCTATCAAAAAAATTATGATCACAACTCGACGAAACGAATATCACCATATACCTTTTTTTCTATTCTAAATAGCTCTAAAAAAATTAACAACACATTTGGAGTAATTAAAGACAATTTTTTTAATTTTGCTACTTCGTTCAAATTAAAAGAGGGGAAAAAACGTAATCCTCAAAGATATTACATTAGCGTTCTGAAGCAGGAGGAGCATTCACGTAGAGCGAATACCAATTCCATCAGTTTGATTGGTTAAATATGCCTGTCATGCTTTTGACATCAAACAGTGAGAAATAATAAAGTTAGGATCAAACGAAAGAGCGGCAAAAAAAGTGGGGGAAGGGGGAAACTCATGAAGCTATTCTTCATTTTAGTCGTTTTGGCTTAAAAAAGTAGCCGATTTTAAGCAACTCATTGCAAATTAGTTGTTTTTACTCATATTTCTTCTAAAATAGTCGCCATAGTTGCTATTGCTTTAAAATAGTCGTTTTAGTCGCCTCTTTAGTCTCCTATGGCAGCCCTGGAATTTAAAAAGAAGGAAAATGCTATTTGAAAAAGCAATGTCAATGATTTTAATCAAATATAAATATGAATAAGTATAAAAAACAAAATGCTACAGAAATAAATGATTGAAAATAATTGTATTTCAAAAATCCTAAATTTCACCATGGTCAAACTTTTATAAACTCTGTTATTTTTAAAATAAATTTGTCTTGTTCTCCCCTCTTTTATAACATCATATTTTGCATGATTAAGGGTTTTATTCAAAAACAAGATAGTTCAATTTTTGAGGTTTAAACTATTTTAAGATTTAAAAAAAAAAATTATAAATCTAGTAAGAATGTAATACTAAATCTAGAAAAGGTAAACATTTTTCGGTAAATATAAAAATTAATAAAACAGAAATATAGCACTATACAAAATAAGCTTGAAGTTTTCAACTAAAATTTCCTATCTTTCATTAAATATTATGACAGTAAATAATATTGCAACTATAAATTCTATATTTCTGTTGGGACTTTCTGAAGTCTGGAAAATAGATTTTCAAAGAGATAAGCTTTAAGGCAAAGAAACATCAAAGCCTGTGTTGTTCAATAAAAAATGAAAAATAATTGATAATATTAATTTTTACTTTATGACATCTTGTTATTTATTAAATGACTTTTAATTAACGAAAGTGTGTTTAGCATAATAATCTACAAGTCACTAATAAAATGAAATAAATAATGAAAAAGTAAGCAGAGTATATGCTTCATTTTCTCTTCCATGAATGCAGATTTCCTCTTTGAATTCTATTTGTAGAGAAGAATTAGGAGTTACAAATATTCAGATGAAAAAACAAATTTTAAATTGGAAAGGAAAATTGACCCCATTTAATAAAAAGAAAAAAATATTATTAAAATGTGAAACATATTTATCACAGGGTTGGCAAGCTTTTGACACATGACGGTTTTTACCGTCATGTCAAAAACCTCTTTGTCAAAAACGTCAAACTGTAAAAAAAAAACATAGTTTTGTTAAAACTGCATTTTTATTTGAGTTTAACTGCTTATAATTTAAAATTAATTCATTTTTGGGCAATAAAACTAGAAAAAAAGTTGTTAAAAATTATTTAAGAACAGATTCTTGCATTTTCCCAACATGAGTATATCAAAACATACTATTTGAAGTAAAATATTAGGATACTAAAAACAATTTCAACATTTCCAAGCATCATTTTGTTTGGCATATTACATTACTGAAGAATGTCAAGATTGATTACTTTCATTCTTAAAATCTTGCTATGAGAAACACATGTACACATAAAAAGAAAGCCTCATAAAATAAACTTTTCTTATCAATTCTGCTTTCAATATTTTACACAGAAATGAGACATGAAAAAGCCTGGGAAATCCTTTTAGAGTTTCCTTGCAACATTGCACTAACCTTTTGTTATCATTATCATCTATATCATTTTGTTATCATATCCCTCTATATTTCTATATGAATGTATTATATCCTTCTATAAGAATACATGTATATAGTTGCAAAATCAATAGCAATCATTTACAACATTTATTTATGAAGGCAATTATGTCAAAATAATATATTGTCCGCTATATGCCATAAATTAAAGAAAACAGTAGGCTTTGACAGTTTTTACCACTGTCATGTCAAAAACCAGTTATTGACGGCAAAAACCCAACCCTGATTTATCATTTACCATAGATTTTTGAATGAAAGAAAAAAGAAGCTGTTAATGGGTGTTTATTTTTTCAATCCCTTATTCAGCTGCATAAATATTTATTGTTAACAACTGAAGTTTGTTTTTCTTCAACTGCTCTTGTCTTTTCAATAATTCCTAAGTGTGCTAATTGAAAAGACAGAATAAATGGTTAATGCATCAAGCAAAAATAAAATTTTCCATTTGTAACATTTTGAACAAAATAAACGTTTAAAAATGGAATATTTTTTCGAAAAAAAAAAGCTGTTTAGTGATTGTTAAAAAAGGTTTTAGAAAATTGAGGTTTCCTGAAAATATATACAAACCAGTCTAGATGTGGGACTTTCTACTGTATTTGAAAATAATATCTTATTTTCTCAGTCTAGAAAAACATAAATTATGTGCTATAAAATTGCTTATGCTGCTGAATGGGGAAAAAAATTATCAAATGAAAAAATTATCCCAATATGTATGAATAATTTTAAAAAATTTGAAAGAAAAAGATTAAATATTTTTAAACAATCGTTATGACTTTATTTAAAAGTGTTACATTTGGGGATCATTTGCACTCTTTTTATTGGTATTATTATAGCAAACAACTTACTTTGAAGATTGAATACTGCAATCTCTCCTGATGCTGTGTGAGCACCAAAATGAACACCAGATACTAAGAGAAGAGTGTCTGTTTCATTGAACTGAGAAAACTGTGTGTAGTTCCAACTGAAAGACTTCATATCCGTACTGTGACAAACTGTTGCCGGGTAGGTAGCATTCCACACCTGAAATATCACATTAATTACGATATTTTCATTCATCAGGTATGACACAATAAAGGTCACTTCTGGAATTTTTCTTAGGAGAGATATTATATATCACAATTACGTTTTAAACTTTTGTTTTTAAACAAATATTACTTTATTTATTTCAAAAAATATTGAAAGTACCAAGAAATCTTTTTACAAAAATAAAAAAAATGTGTCTTCAGTACGAAACAAACTTAACAATTTGATGAAAGCTCGGAAAGACAACCCTTGTATTAATAGTTCAAAAAAAAAAAAATAGTCTGAATATCTTGCGGTTTTAAAGTAGGAACATAAGGTAAAATGGAGAATACTTGCCAGTGATAAGACGAGCAGTAGCTGGTCGCCCACAACATGCGTTTGTTGAAAAATTTTATTTCAGATTTTAGCTTTAACAAAGCTTTTCAGTTATTAAAGTTGGTCTAAGTCCAAGTCCATATTAACTCCAATAATCTGATAGTCTATTTCCAAGTACTAGATAATTAAACTTTGAACAAAAAGAAACTAAACACTTTCATTCTAAAGAGCTCAAAAGTGAAGTGAAATGAAAAACGTAGCAAGTACCTCAAGTTACAAACATTTGTTCTCCTGAACAATTGCTCATAGTATTTTCTGTTTTTATTCCTCTCTTGATCTAGCAATTTTTTATACTTTCTATGACTTTTTCTTTAACTTGGATATTAAAAGATTCTGGTCATTTTAAATTATCTTAGATAAGACACAATACATAGAAACCTAATTTTAGTTCGAAGAAGAAAAATATGTTGAAGACAAGAATTTAATTTTTGGAGACTTAGATTCAGATTTATAAAACAAAAGAGAATAATTTTCTTCAAGATTAACATCCATTACTTTGAAACTACATCATCAAAGAGAAAAGAAATTTCAAATTCCTTGTAATTTAATTCATTTTTACACCAAAATTGCAGCATTTAATTCAGAGTTAAAATTTTTACTAGCCAGCTTGCGAGTGGTGGTTGAATATTTAAATCGGGCAAGTAAGTTTTGTCTTGCGAAATATTGCATTTCAAATCAAACTATCATAATTACATCAGATTTTTACAATAGACTTGATTGGGTCTCAGGATTCTAAATTCCCTAAGAAGATCTGCTCAGAATTTCTATAAATACAGCACAGAACCCGTTATCCGGAAATCAGAAAACCGGAAAACCAAAAAACCGGAACGAAATTCGATAAATTTTCTCGCCATTTAAAAAAAAAAAAAATTTTTTTTTCCTCGTAAGATTTCGCGATTTTTCTTTCTTTTTTTAAAGATGTTTACCTTACCATCATTTTGGAAATAATCATTAGTGTATTACTTCATCGTTTTTTCTTCTTTTTAAGATTATTTCCAAAAATATATATTTTTTTAGTTGGGTTTAACAATAAAAAAACGGCTTTTTGTAGCGATTCAGAAAACCGGAAAAATCAGTTATCCGGAATAGCGATGGTCCCGACCGTTCCGGATAATCGGTTCCCTACTGCAGAAAATTTCTATGTTTCTTCAGAAATGCTATAATAGAGTTTGACCATAGAGCTGCAACTGACAAATGGTATTTAGCACAAAAGGCAGTGGTAAATAAATATAAAGTGCACGCTATAGGATGGGGGAAACTTTTCATGATAAATTCTGTTTCACATGAATTAGTAATTATTAATTTAAGCAAAAGAAATGTGAGATAATGTAATGCAAGAATAAACCATAAGTTTCAAATGCTGAATTTTTTTCAAAATATCAAAATGTGTGGAAATTATGACAGGATTGGATTACTTAAGATTACATAATCTACCTAATTTGTTTGTATTTTGATTTTTTTAACTAATCATTTGAAACTTTCTGGTTTACATTCGATTTACATGAACTCACTGTTTTTTAAACCTATCACAATAACGTTTTAACTTTCTACATTCTTTTCTAATTTTAATCCTCAAAAACTTCTTTATACTAAATCTGTAAATATTTGAAAAATAGATGAGCAAAAACTTCAGTCTAACTAGTACCTTTCAAACTGAAATTTCAAGCCCTGGTTTAATCCATCTGCACAAATTATTCCGTTTCATCCTTAAATACTTGTCTTTTTCCTTAGAATAATACAAATTCCTCTAATTTTCTTTCATTCAGTTAAAAGAAATACATAATAAAATCACTTAAAAAAATTATCCGACCAAAAAATATTTTGTCGAATTTCTCATTTCCTAAAAAAGATTAAAAATTACAGTTTCAGTAAAACCAAACTTTATCTTATTTGTTATTTTATGCAATCAGGCAAGATTTTCATAAATAATTTATGAAAATTCTCACCCCATTCAATTAAACCAGGGATTATAAATCTGCAACTTTGTTTCTTATTTTTTATGATTACAAAAGTAAACATTGAAAATATGATTATTTTACAGAAAAATACTCTCCTCCCCAAATTTAAAAAATTACTTCTTTGAATAATTTAAAATATCCCTTAAACTCACATGTTTACATTTCTTTTGAAAAGGAGCAGGATGCCTTCAATAAAATAGGCATTTTTTTCTACAAAATGGCATTTTCAAGGGAGAAAAAAGGCACTTTTTTCTCATGTAAAATAAAACTGCCAAATTAGATTTTTTACCATAAAATAATCATCACTTTTTCAATCCTAACTAGGGTCCAAAGTAAAAAAAAAATTTTTGTTTCGAAATATTTATGATATGTTTTTTCCCATTCAAATTCTGATTATGTATAAAATGTAGGACAGAATATTTCGTGACTGGAAACATCATTTATTGGATTTAAAAGCCAGTAAAGACCTTTGTAATGTTACGAAATTGTGGCACCTAGTTGAGTTACAACCAGTGGAGTCCACTCCTCTCCGAAAGCTCTGTGCCTAGAGCCCTTGAATTTCTAAATCATGTCTGGATTATCAATAATATTGACCACAAACAAAGAGGGAAATAATTTCATTACCTTAATATAACCATCCTTAGAGCTGCTTGCAAACATCTCTCCATTGTGTGAAAAGCTGACATGAAGCACCTGATGAGTGTGTTCAACCAGCACTTCAGTCTGATGTGTTGGTGTGTGATACTTCAGTCTCTTGTATTCATTGAACCAAGAATACTTACCAGGTGCTATTGGAATATTCTTGTCAATTTTAAAGTCATTGTGCAAAAGTCTCTTCCACAACAGTTCATCATTGGCGAGACGATGCCAATTCTTGCAAGTTTTCCTCACATTCAACAGATCTTTTGCACTTAAATGAGAAAAAATATACAATAATACTGGATCCGGGGTTATGTGCCATAATTCCGAGGCTTCCATTTTTTTTATTTTCAGACTAAAAACATCATTTTACTTAAAATACATTCAATCAATTCTGAACAAATCTATCCACTCTAAAAAGTATCCAGTGCAAAAATTCAACAAATTATTATATAAACAACGAGGCAAGTTTTTAATTATGGATATACTTTTTATTACCACAATTCTATTTTATAAAATACTTTTAACGTAAAACACAGCCTAGTTAAATCTCGGACAAATTGCAATTGCGTAAAATATTGATTGGACATTAATCTGAACAAATAAGGAGCTTAAAATTATTACGAAATACAGGAATTTTGCTATGAAAAATCAATGTCGTTATTGTATTTCTTGGATAAAGACGGGCAAGTAAAAATAAGTTTCATCAGAGAAACTCTTAAGCTAAAATACTCAAAAAATGAAGCAATTAAATAAGCTTCAACATATGCTGATCTTATAAATTAGGAATAACCCCAATTTTAAAATTATTCTTGTTTTTCGAACGTTTCCTCAAGCCGATTTCCAAACGTAAACAGATAAAGCTTAGCAGCTGATCGTGCAGCTATTTTCGGTTTTGGATCCTCGACATCAGCGATGCCTAAAAATAAAACTAAAAAAAAAATTAAATATGCAAAAATAAAAAAGGAGTGAAATTTTCTTTTTTGGGTTTTAAATTATGCCTTAATCTTCTTTATTATGAATTTTTTCATATGTATTTATTTTAAAAAAGGGCACCAAAGATAAATAGCAAAATTAACAATACTTAACTGTAATCGAGATTTTAACTGTCACAACAAGTCAGTTCTAGTGAGATTAGCGTTAGTAGAGTGCGTGGAGTTTCTAAGTGGTGTTTGTAATTTAATAATAAATAAATATATATCTATTTATTTGCCTGTTGATTAAATATTTGTAACTTGATAAGGTTTTGAATTAATTCTGAAGCTAGTCATGTATGAGGCTGAAGATGGTTAGCATTTTTGTACATTCTTATTGATAGAATGGAGCAGTGATTTTTTTTTTACCATTGCTTCATCTAAATAACTTTAAAACTTGTTGCGGAATTTTTTGTTTATTCGGGAAGATTTCCGTATCATAATCTGCTGCTATTAACGCAACCGATCACGGTTTGGAACTAACACCGAATAATCGTCAATTCTTGATATTGGCCCCAGGAAATTAATAATTAAAAACATCACAGAAGTCCAACTCTTAGTCACCCCCGGTCAAACCTCTACATATTTTTAAAAAAATATGCAAGTTTGAAATCCGTTTTGCACCTTGGCATTTGTAGTTAACGCAACACACCCTATACGGAAATATTCCATAATTCAACGCCGTGGTGATTGTAGTTGGCGCAACAGATCACTATTCGAAAATATACTCGTTTATTTAATGTGTTTGTTAAATTTAATTTCTGAGTAGTTTAAATTAATCTGGTTAATTCTCTGACGTAAAATTAGAAAATTTAGACACTGGCATCAAAGTGAAAAACTTGGTTGTCTTTGCCTAAACTTTTTATTTAGTGATTCAGGGATTAGTTTAACTTTTTTTGGACTGTAAGAGTGAGAAAGAAATGTTACCCCGGCCCTCATACTTCTAGAATATACCTACTAAAGAGAATGTGAGATGGTAGTAAAGTAATGAAATGAGATTACGTCTATGTGATCTTGGGTCACTAGTGTGTGAAAAGCTCATTTTATCTGTGATAATGTGGGTCATGAAGGATGAATCACTCAATAATCTATATGCAATCATGATATAGAGGAGTAGAAGTATTTTTGTACCGTTAAATGTCGTACAATCTACATACGCTAAGGTGTTAAATGAATTTCAAACTTGCACATTTTTCTAAAAAAGCATGTAGATGTTTGCCCCGGGGGTGGCTACAAGTTATACCTTTCGAGTTGGTCCCTGAACAGTCTGCACACCTTAATGCGAAGCCAATAATTCCGGATTTGAATCCCGCTCAGGGTATAGATGTTTCTCTCTGAGTGAATGTGGAAAGGGTCTGTGGTGTGAGTAATGTTGCTTGCCTCCATGACTTAGGTTCACAGGTGCTCTACGAGTAGTGATAAATGAGCAACAGTTCTGGCTTCCTGAAGTTCAGCACCTGCTGTTAGAAAAAAAAAATTCACTGAGCATTATCTATAAATCATGATTATAATTTTTGTAAAGACGGTTCTCATGACAATTTATAACAGGAGTAATATAATTTATAATAGCATGATACTAGGTGGGTTTTTTCGAGAGGTTATATTTTATAATAAAATGAAATACAAACTACATACAATGAAATATCTATATTTTCTTTACTTCTATATTTTGTGCTTTAAATTTTTTAATGAATAAAAATAAGCAATCCATACAATCCTGGATAAGAAAAAAGGGTAATTTACTACAAATAGAAAAGAGGCAGAAGCAATTAAATAAACTGATACTTTAGATAGATTAAAATGCTTTGAATATTAAAGAAGTGAATTTTAATATTTTGATTTATTAAAATTATCATATGTTGTTAAGCTGAAGCATATGTTTGAATTTAAAATGAATACACTCTGAATCTTTGTCCTTGTTGTTTCTTTTGTCTGTGCTACGGAAAAATAATTTTTCTTTTCTTTTAACAATTATAAAAATAAAAAAAATGAATAATTAACTATTACAATTTTAAAATTATGAATTTAAGATTCAATCTGCAGTTGTTTTCTTAAGCTATAGACCGAATTGCAAACAAATTTTTTGTATAAATTTATTTTTAAAATAAAAAATTTTCTTCAGAAAACTTTGATGAAGATGAGTCAGAAGAAATAACTGCCGATTTATGGCAGGAAGCCTGCTGGATTGTGATCAGTGCCTATTTTGATGAGAAAGGTCTGGTGCGTCAACAGCTGGACTCCTTTGATGAGTTCATCCAAATGTCTGTGCAGAGGATTGTCGAGGACACCCCTCAGATAGATTTGCAAGCTGAAGCGCAACATACAAGTGGAGAAGTAGAAACTCCAGTGAGTCAATTTGTTTTTATCAATGTTTTACTTAAGTAATGCTCTTTTTTCTTAAATAACAATAGAAATTAGTCAATGAACCTTGAGGTTTCTTAGCAAGATTTTATTTTATGATAAGCATGAGTTCTGTTATACTGAAGACATCTTAGTTCTCTTTTATTTTTCTGTATTGAAAGTATCCTTACACTGTAAGTATAATATTGTTGTATAAGTCACAGTATAGTGGATTTGTGCCCTCTTTTCATTACATTCCAGTCCTATCTGCAAAATTGGATGAACGTTCGTAAACTATGGACATAAGCATGTCAATCTATCAAGTAAGGCTAGATGATAGTTTGAATGGCAAAAATAGAAAATAAAGTAAACATGAGGGGTGACAAATTTAAAAAAAAAAAAATTATAGATTCGAGCTATCAATGTTTTTAATTAGAAGTGATCTGCATCAAAGAAGAGCAGCAATGTAATTTGATGCTCAAAGTTATAATTTTTTCTTTCAGCTATAAATTATAAAGGAAAAAAAAACATTATATGTGTATGAAAGAAGGTGGATAAAGACTGAGTAGATAAGAATTAAGGACCTGTTGAGGCTAAACTGTACAGCTTAGAAACTATCAGGTTTTTTTTTTCAAAATATTCATTTAAGGCTATTTGTGCTTTGAGGAAACGGCCCATAATAAATTTTGTCCTGTAGCCTGTAAAATCTCTGTTCAGTGTTGAACATATTTATATTCTTCCTCTGCTGCACTGCAAGCAAACGCAAAAGCTTCCTAGCAAACACAAATCAGGTGAGGGTTGGCTAGACCTTGTAGCTACCTTCAGAGCAGAAGTTATCAAAGTGCAACTATTAGACTAAACTCTTATTGTATGTTAGGAAATGAATCTTTAATGGTATAAGCTGGACTCAAAATAATTTTTATAAGTGTGAGCCGATAAATATGGCTGGTTTAAAAACATCAGAGTTGGTGTAGGAAAGCAAACTTATCTACTCGGACTCCTCAATTAATCAACAGCAACACGCCAGTATGCTAGGTCTTTCATTTTAACTAGTAAAGTCTAATTCAAAGTTCGTCTCCTGTAAAACAGAATTAATTTAACAGTTGTGATACCCAATGTTAACCCACTATCTGGTCTTGCCCTACTCTTCCCTTGATAGTTTTGATATAATTTTACTGGCATAAATCTGCTATTGTAATATTTTTTGTCTCAACTCCAGAAAAATTAGGCTACCCATGGGTTGTGTCATAACTTATTTTTTGCATCTTTTTAGCTTTTAATATATTTGGTGCACTATGGCAAAGAATGAAATCGCTGAACACATTTATTTAAATTTGTAACTCTGTATGCATGAGTGTATAAATTTTGTGAATTTTATTATTTTTAGTAGTCATTCATACCAATTAAAAATAAGTTACTAAGCTTTAGATCATTTTCAAATTCTGATTCATTTTTGAGACTTAAAAGAGAGAGAAAAAGTTTGGAAGTCAAATTATGCATACAACTTATAAAATTGTTCAATTTAAAAAAAAATTAAAATAATTAATTTTTCATATAATTATTTTCGAGAAAACAAGCTTTATAATTCTTATAATTTTTTGATTACTTCATAAGACTAACTTCCAGCCTGAAATAAGGAAAAGTAAAATATAACTAATAAAATATAATTCTAAAAATTTTTAAATCATTTTCCAATCTTGCATTTCAAAAGTCAGATATCATTTGTGTCTCATACATTATTTCTTTTATTAAATGTAGATGTAACTTTCTTGGCTTTTTTTATTTTAGCCTCGATACTTGGTTAAATTTGAACAGATCTATTTATCCAAACCAACACATTGGGAGAAGGATGGTGCTCCTAGTCCTATGATGCCCAATGAAGCTAGGCTGAGAAATTTGACGTAAGATAAAACCTAGTTATATACTTTATTTACAATTCATATTTTCTAAAGGAAAGTTATCCCCTCTTTGCTTGAAGCTTAAGGAATTCATTATAATGCACGACTCAAAGGGGGAAAAAAGAGCTCCCCATATAACTTGATATGAATGATCATATCACGATACAATTTCCATGATTCAAGGGGAGAAAAGATGCTTTTCATCTGAATAATCATTAAATTTATTTTTAATTTTTATCAATTTTACAAAAATAAATTGCTATTAGAAAGTTCTTACTTATAATCTTTAAACTTATAAAGTCATAGCTATATTGGAAACTTGTTTTAAATATCTTTAAAAAAAAACATGCAAATAATTGGGTAGGAAGGAAACGCCACCTGGAAGTAATGATTTGTTTCTGTCAAAGCTAAGAATGTGAAACTAATTTGTGAAAAAATCTATTTTATGTGCCTTGAAGTTTTTCAGATTATCACTTATGCCAGCAAATCTTTGAAATTCACCTTAAATATTTTTCATTGTGTACTTAACGTAAAACTCCTTTATTTTTTCAAAAATCCTGGTTTTTCGAGTTAAAAAAGTATTTTATAGGTTTTTAAAGTTTTCAACTTTTTATAAATTTTAAAAATTCTTTTTTTTTCTATTAATGCAACTAGTTTAATAGGAAAATTAATAAATTAAACTTAAAAACGAAAATGTCATTTTAAAAGTTTAACAAGTTTTTAACTGTGTTAAAGTGCGTATAAATCTCCTTGACAATTTTAACTACAAAAATGGAATGAAAAAATTTAAGCAATAGTAAGCGAAATAATGTTTCAAATAACTAATATAAGAATACAAATATTATCACAAAAGATGGTAATTAAAAGTACTTTATTTAGCATATTGTCTGTGTGTTTAGCAGTCGTCTAAGATACTAAACCATTTTTAGGAAAGAAAATGTTCTTTTTTCTTATTTCATAAATTTTGATTCGATATTAATTGTTTATTGTGGTTCTCTTTTAAAAATGTTTGTGTTGTTGAAGAAAAAAACATAGTAATTTATATTTTGCAATAAGTGATTCAACTTCAGAAAGGCTGAGGGTTGCTTTGTAATTTTTTTTTTTTTTTTTTTTTTTCCATTTTAATTTTACTTCACTTTTGCCTGCAGTTNTTTTTTTTTTTTTTGTAACAAGATTAAAGGATGAGAGCAGCAAAATTTTAACCTTTGAAAACAGTATATAACTGAGGAGCACCATAATACATATATATAGATAGATGGCTTGAAACCTACAGTTACTTCCCTCCTGTATAGAAAAAAATCCAAAATACTGATTCTTCTGGTTTTTAATTGTTTACAAACAAGCCGCATTTTATTTGTTGTATCGTAATTTATTTGTTATTGAATTTATGCCTTTTGCAATTGAAACATCATTATTAGACCGTGTATTATATTCAACCTCCTTATCTAGTTATTCTGCTCCACTTTATGTGGATATCACAAAGACTGTCATTAAAGAAGGTGAGGAGCCAGTAGAAACTCAACTTCAAAAGAGCTTTATTGGAAAAATTCCTATCATGTTAAGATCTACCTACTGTCTTTTAAATGGCCTCACCGATAGAGATTTGACAGAGTTGAATGAGTGTCCTTTAGATCCTGGTGGCTATTTCATAATTAATGGATCAGAAAAGGTAAGAAAAAATCTATTAATATAATTCAGGTAAAAGCTCCATTAACCGTTTTTCTCTTTTTTCAAAAAATATCTTCTATTTTTTTTAGGTTTTGATTGCACAAGAAAAAATGGCAACCAACTCTGTGTACGTCTTTCAAATGAAGGATTCTAAGTACGCCTATAAATCAGAATGCCGGTCTTGTTTAGAGCACTCGTCTCGTCCCACCAGCACATTATGGGTAAACATGCTTGCCAGAGGGGGGCAGGTAAGATGAATATCTTCTGAAACGAATTCTCCGTTATAGAAGCTTCCCTCCCTACAACACATATCAATTGTTTTTCAGGGTGTGCGTAAGAGCGCTATTGGACAGAGAATAATTGCTATATTGCCATACATTAAGCAAGAAATCCCCATCATGATTGTGTTCAGAGCTTTGGGATTTGTAGCTGATCGAGACATTCTGGAGCATATTATCTATGACTTTGAAGATCAGGAAATGATGGAAATGGTAAAATTTATTTATGTTAATGGCATTAGAAATGTTTCGATTGTGTATTCAGTATTTTGCATTAGCTCATATTTTTCTGAAAATTTCAAAAGTTCTATGAAATGTGAGTCTTTAGGAAGTAACAAAAAAATATGGTTACAACCAGCATTGTTAACTTTGTTGTTGCCCTTTACTGCATTTTTTTAATCACTGCCAATTTTTTTATTTAATTTTACAATATTTTTTTTTTTTAATAAGGTTAAACCATCTTTGGATGAAGCTTTTGTCATTCAAGAACAGAATGTGGCACTGAACTTTATAGGTTCTCGTGGTGCTCGTCCAGGTGTCACAAAGGAAAAGCGTATTAAGTATGCAAGAGAAATTTTGCAGAAGGAAATGTTACCTCATGTTGGAGTCAGTGATTTCTGTGAGACTAAGAAAGCTTATTACTTAGGGTAAGTTATATTGCTTCATATATGAGTTTAAGATGTGATTATGAGTACTTTAAACGAAATATTCCAGATTTGTAATGAAACAAATAGAAATTGAGGAATTTTCTCATTTAGATCCAATTAAAAAGATTAGGTTTCTTAAGTGTTCTGTTGCACCATGGATGCTCTGTAAAGATTGCGCTCCTGATTAATATATTTGATGTAGTTTTTTGGTATTTTTAAATAAAAAGTGTCAAAAACCATTTTAATTGAAACAGCTATCTGAGTTACTTTATCTATACCAGTGATTCTGTTTATGAGCTATAAGGCATCAAATGCGCCAAAAAATCATTGATGGGGTGCAAAATAAGTTATGATGCATTCTCTGAGGCATGCAATTTTCCAGCGTAGAATAAAACTAAGCAGTACCCTAGTAGATTTATGTACACAAAATTATAACCAAGCTGTAGATGTATATAAAAAGATTATGTATCCTGATGTATATAAAAGAAATCTTTTTATTAAAAGTGAAAATTAAAATGAGTATCAAATTACGTTGTTGCCTTTCCTTGAAGCGATTGGTTGTTTAAGCAGTTTTAATTAAAAGTTTTGACTGTCCAAATATAATTCCTTTTTTGATTTTGTAATTTTTTGTTTTATATATCAATAGATTGTGATAGATTTGTTATATGAATGCCATATTAATAGATAGATAAAGTGGTATAGAATTTTTATTTTAAATAGGGACCTGCTTTTAATAAGAAGAGACCCAGTGTCGAAGTTCTGAGTTCTACGGAACTGCAGTTTCCGAAGACTAGTGAAATCACTGCCATATCATAAAGTTCATTCTCAACCCTAGTGGGTGGTCAAATCCCTCAGACAGTACTAGTAAAATTGCGATTATTTAAAAAAAAACTAATGTCGAACTGTGGGGGTTAGAGGTTTATAAACAAATAATCAAGCAAAATAGATTGAAGTATATAAAATTATTCTTTGTAGTTAAAGAATTAATTACATTTTCTATCTCAACATGTGTTACTTGTTAAAGTATTTGTTATTAAAATTGTTTGTCTTAACAATGACAAGAAAAAACTGTAATACTAACGAAATTACTGTTTAGTAATGACGAGAAAAAATGTGAAATTAAAAAATTTATTTCTCCCAATTTGTTCGCAAGTAGCACGCCCCTGCTCTCTTTTTTTTAAAAATGAGGAAATCTTGTTATAATGTTCCATAGTTATTGCATCAGCATCGATTGGATAAATCTTCACTTATAGTTGGAATGGTACAAAATTACGTTATTGCTTTTATTTTTGAGAATTTTGCTTATTTTTTTTTAGATTGAATTAATACTTTTACTTCCTCTGTTTTTTTGTAAAGATTTGTTTGATTTCATGAAGTTGTGCAGTATTTAGGAGCTCTCTCTGATTTTTGGATGCTTATCTGTTAGTACATTGCATTACGAATAAAGTAAGTTCAGTTATGTAATGAAGTGTAAAATCTCCACGTCTGGAAATCCTCCCTATCCTTAAGCTTGGCTGAAGACACTTCTTTGTTAGAATGGACATTCTTTTTGTTTATATTATAAAAACGATGCAATGCTTAATTGATTGAAAGAAGCAAAAAAAAAAAACTTTTTCCACAGTGTTTATATTAATAACCTATATTAGTATATTTGGTTCCTATTATCACAGTGCCTATTGCCTCAGTACCTTGACTTTTAATTTGTTATACCTTTATTTTAAGTCCTACTTTAACGTATAAGTGCTGATCATAGTGGTACGTCGTTTAAGGTGTTAGACGTAGGTAAACTTTGCTTTCATTGCCTAAGCGAAATCTAAACAGAATGTTGTTGTTTTTCAGTTACATGGTTCACCGATTGTTGTTGGCTGCCCTGGGAAGGAGAGAGTTGGATGACAGAGATCACTACGGTAATAAGAGATTGGACTTGGCAGGTCCCCTTCTAGCTTTCCTCTTCAGAGGCTTATTTAGGACTTTAACAAAAGAAGTCAGGATGTATGCCCAGAAGTTCATTGATCGTGGGAAAGATTTCAACCTGGAGTTGGCCATCAAGACAAGAATCATCACAGATGGGCTGAGGTACTCTTTAGCCACTGGAAACTGGGGAGATCAAAAGAAGGCTCATCAAGCAAGAGCTGGTGTCTCACAGGTTAAATCTTTTTCTTAATGTATGACTTAAAGCAGACATTAATTCTTTTTTAGGAGAGTAAATTAGAAAGTAGTTAAAGTAAGCTATTGAAAATTTAATTTTAATATTTCTACATGTCTTATACTATTTTATAGCAAATTTTCTATGTTTAAAAAAGTAGTAATAATCTTGCTACAATCTTGTTACAAACTGCAGATTTGGATAGTTTATACTCCCTGCAAATATCAGCTTGATTGCATCCATTTTCAATTTTTCTGATTATGCCCATTTTATCAGCAATGGAGAACATTTTACAATCACTGCTCGCCATAGTTAAATTTGAGACACTTGTTTGCAGGATTTTTTTAACTGAACTGAGATAAAAAAGGAGTTGAAATGAGGGCCTTATCAACACATATTAGTGACCAACCCTTTAACTAATAATGAATAATTACTCATTCCCTCTGACAGAAAATGCATATTGATCCCACTGACACCTTACAGGTGCGTCATCTGCGCCTGGGTTGGAAACTTCTGCTTGGTTTGTTTAGGGATGGGAAAGTGAGGTAAAAGAAGTAAACAAGAAAAAATGCTTATCGCTACATTCCCCTCTATAAAATCAGTATATGTATTTATTTTGAAGAAGAAATTTCAAAATTACTACCAAAAAATGAAGAAAAAAATCAGTCGGAGACAGAAAAAAGTTCATTATATCCAACTTCCTTGCTTTTTTGGTTCTCTATATCCACAAAAAATATCACTATACGCACTGTAAACCGTGTTCACTATAGCGGGATTTGACTGTATTTTTATTTATCAAATTGATTATTATTGTAATTTAAAATTTGGATATCTAATTGATCTACTCACAAAAAAATTTTGAAAGGACGAGCAATGTTCAATCTTTCTAGCAAAATCTCTGAGTTAACCTGCCATATGTTGTATTCTTGTGGCAGATACCAGCTCTTGTGTCTTTATTCATTGATTAAAGTTCCTTTTATCACTGAGAAATTCTTAAAAAATATGGGGGAACAAGTAGCAGTATAGACAGATCAATCCGGATTTCAGTGAATGGCTTACAACTGCTTTACAAAATGATAATGCATTTAAAACTAGAGTTTAAAAAAATGTATAATAGTTTATAACTTGTCTAATGTATAAATGAAAGGAAGATAGTTTAATTACAAAATTTTGTAAATTTAATAACCTACAACAACTTAATTTATAAGAAATTATGATCTGTAAAAACTTTAATTCAAGAATTTTTTTTTTCTTTTAAATGGTGTTTTCTTTAATTATAAAATGGATTGTATTTGTTTGGGTTCTTAAAAGCTCCCTAATTTTCAATTAATAGGTCTGTAAGTACCTACTATTTTAGTCAATTTATTGTCAGCTTTGTTATGCATTCAATTCAAATCATCTTTAATTTTATTTTTAAAAAAAATGTTAAAAAATTGAAGCATTTTATTGGAAGTAAAACTATAATTTTGGTCATTGTTTTTCCCTTCCTATTCTGATTTTTCTTAAACATTTATAGATTTTAAAATGTGATACTTGATTATCTCTTAAACAAAAAAATTTTTTTAATTATGTAATAATTTATAAAATATTAAAAAAAAAATTTCAGGTGTTAAACAGGTTGACTTTTGCTTCAACACTTTCTCATCTAAGGCGTGTCAATTCACCCATTGGCCGTGATGGTAAACTAGCCAAGCCACGGCAGCTTCACAATACTCTTTGGGGTATGATATGTCCTGCTGAAACTCCAGAAGTAAGTCCTCTAAACAAATTTATATCTCTTGTAAAAAATAGTTCTGTTGCAGGGTTGACTAAAATCTATCTTCCTTAAATCAAAAAAATCTAATTTAGTTTTCCTTTTTATTTACAAACTAAAGTATCTAATAACATGACTTAGTTTAATATTATTTAAGGACAATATTAAAACTAAAAAAATTACATTTTGTTTACATATTACAAAAAACTAATCACAAAATAAATAAAAAAAAATTTATTTTTTTTTTTCCCCTAGCTTAGCATTCTTATGGATTGTAAGGATGGGAAGGCAATTTATCTATTAAATATCTGATGAAGAGTAAATTAGTTTAGATCAGAAAACATTACTGTACAAAAACAATTATTCTTAGTTATTCTGGTTAGAAAATCTTCCTTCATGATTGATATGCACTTATTTTTAACAGCACTTGTGTTTATATAAATATAAAAATGGGTATGATTAAAATATGTTCATTACAACTAATTTAAAATTATAGTTTAAATTTTATCCCTATCTTATCCACTTAGTGTATTTATTTAGTTCATTATGAAGTATAATAATTTTATATGCCTTATATTATTTATGTACCCTTTCATTATTTCTTTGTATATATCTTAGACTTAATAGTTTTTGGGTTTTTTTTTTTTTTTTTTAAATTAGAGGGTTTGAATTTTTTTTTTTTTTTTTTAAATCACAAGTTATTTAAAACATGATTTTTAATCATGCCAACTCTTTTCTGTTGTAGTTGTAATGCATATTAATTCTTTATAGGGGCATGCTGTAGGCTTAGTGAAAAACTTGGCTCTTATGGCCTACATTTCAGTTGGATCCCAGCCATCTCCGATTCTAGAGTTTTTAGAGGAATGGAGTATGGAGAATTTGGAGGAAATTGCACCTTCTGCTATTGCTGAGTAAGCCTAATTTTTTTTTAAATCATTTTTTAAACTCTTTTAAAGCATATTATTGATAATGTGTTGTCTGATTTTCTAGAGCCACAAAAATATTTGTAAATGGCTGTTGGGTAGGCATTCACAGAGATCCTGATCAACTGATGAACACTTTGCGTAAACTTCGTAGGCAGATGGATATCATTGTGTCTGAAGTATGTGTATATTTTAAAGTTCTTTCTTTTTTTGAGATGGTATTAGATATTCTTTGAATTCAGTCTACCTCATTTAGTCTTTTAATGTGGCTTGTTATGTTTAAAATGCTGCATGTCTGGTTAGCTGCAAACCATTACATGTGTTAATGTTTTTATTCAGTAAAAAATAAATTTAGTTGCATTTTGTAAGTACCAATAAAATGTTGATATTAGGTAACTTAACAAATTGATTTTAATATTTGTGCACATTTGTATCGTTGTCACTCCTTACACTTCTTAAATTTAAACAGTTTTTTTTTTTTTTTTTTTTACAATCAAGTCTTCTTTTTTTTGTGATCTGAAAATTTTTCATTCTATTTTGTGCTAACTTTAATTCCCATAAGTAGATTAAAAGTTCATTTTTGATGATACATCTTTAATGATAATAAGCCAATTTATGTTTTACTGTTAAGCAGTTAATTTGGTTGACAGTTAGAAACAGTTTTAATGAAAACTTGATTTGGCATGCTTATCTCTGTAATATAGTTTAAAAGTTTCAGCTTTAATCTAAACTTGATGCTTGACAGGTATCCATGGTAAGAGATATTAGAGACAGAGAAATTCGTATTTATACAGATGCAGGACGAATTTGTCGCCCACTACTTATTGTGGAGAATCAAAAACTTTTGCTGAAGAAAAGACATGTGGATCGCCTGAAAGAGCGTGAATACAACAATTACAGGTAATGATGCTTGATTCTCTTGTCTGGACCTATCTTTAGAACTTACCATTCCTTAAACTGTCTTGTTTGCTTTTAAAGAAATTATATTTACATCATGGGTGAGTGGAGGATTATATTTTATACTGACTGATCACATATTACTAATTTGTATGTAAACTAATTAATAACAAAAAAACTAAACTAGCTTAATAATTAGACTAACTTAATAAGATTTGAGACTTTTCTCTTCCGATCACCAAAGTCAAGCATCATCGGGTGTGGTCAGTACTTGGGAGGGTGACCACCTGGGAACACTGCATGCCCTTGGCATACCTTTTAGGGCAGAGATAGCCTGATTGGTAGGGCTCTGGCTCTATGTCCAAGAAGTCATGGGCTCCACACTCGGCAGCTGAAGACTCCAAATGTAGTAAATGGTAACTGATGCATGATAAATCTGTCGAGCCTCAAAGTCCTCCACATTCCCAAAACAAATCATATCTCTGGGTGTACTGATCATGGAGTTTCCTTGTCTTCCAGATTGGCTTAAAATTACGAGGCTACAGAGTTAACATTAGTAGTCGTAAACCCAAAATTGGGTCTGCTGTTCAACGACGGTTATAAAATAAAATAAAGACTTGAGACTGTGCATTACATAAAGTTTTATGTTATATTAATCCTTTTACATATTAAACTTACCTACTAAATGTGGCAATGTATATATGTAACAGATTAATTATGCTTTAAAGCAATTTTTAAATGGAAATACTATAAAATAAATGACTAAATATTTAATATTTACAAAAAAAAAATTAAGAGTTTAGAATTAACAGCCAACAAATTTATAAATTTTTAAGGGCTTTTTAGGTTATGTAAATGTGATTTATTGAAAATTGTGGGTAATAGAATTGTGTTATATAGATCTGAAACTATATCATAATAATTCTCTACTATTCAAGAGCAATAATTCAAAGTCATAAGAAATATTCTCCCATCCCCTTGTTTAAGTTTTCTTCTGCTTCCTATCCCCCCCACCCTCTTTGAACCAAGAAAGTAGTAATAAAGAAAATTAAAAAAAGCATTTGATTGCTTTCTTATTTATGTGCATAGATCAAAGTCTTAATCTTTGTGAGAGCTTCAAGTTCAGGTAATTTTAAGTGATTTCGTTCATAGTAACCATTTTACTTTTTTCAAGATAAGTAATTTTGGCCAAATTCTGACAAATCGGACGCAAATTGTTTGTTTTCCGACCACTTAACAATTTTTATTTATTAAAATTATTTTTTTAACCAAAGAAATTGTTTTAAATAACTTCAATTGTAATAAATTCAATGAATTTATAATATAGATTTTGTTTATTAATAATGAAAATATTTCACATTTTGTGTCATGCGCGGGATATATATTTAAAGTAATTGAAGTTATTTAAAACAATTTCTTTTTAACCAAAGAAATTGTTTTAAATAACTTCAATTGTAATAAATTCAATGAATTTATAATATAAATTTTGTTTATTAATAATGAAAATATTTCGCATTTTGTGTCATTTCGCAGGATATATATTTAAAGTAATTTTGTTCTGGTATTAATGCACATTTTCAGATATTAAATTGATATTTTGATGTCTTATCTTCGTATTGCTGATTTGCCACGGGAAAAAGAAAAAAATTTTAATTATACTTTTTGTAGGGAAAAATAATTGTTAGTGAAATTTAAATAATTTTATAAACATTTTTGTGAATTTTAATTTTTTTATAGATGCAATTGTATAAGTGGCTTATTAATTCATAATGCTACCTACATTAATATCTATTACCTTGCAAACAGTGAAAATATCTTGGGTATTTATAATGCTAAAAAAGCATAATTTCTTTATGTTCATGCAAAATACACAGTTATTAACTCACATTTTTCCATCAGTTTGATAATCTACTTACTAGTCGCTTGTGGTGGTCAGCCTGTTTGCCTACACAAACTGCCTCTGCCTACAAATACCACTGTTTTATAGTTGCAATTTTTGGTGTTAAATTTAAGTTATTCTCTTTTAATTTATTTTTGCTGATAATCTGTTTTAAAGAAAAACATTTTATACGGTTAGATATTTAAAGTAAAAAAATTGTAATGATTCAAAGATGTCATAAGTCTGCTGGTTTTAAAATCAGAGATAATTCTAAGAATATTTAATAAACAGAAGCATTATTTTTAATTTCACCAATTTTATTGCAGTTGGCAAGATCTTGTAGCAAATGGTGTTGTTGAGTACATCGACACCTTAGAAGAAGAAACTGTAATGTTGGCCATGACACCCGACGATCTTCTTGAAGACAAAGGCCAGGCCTATTGTTCAACTTACACGCATTGTGAAATCCACCCTTCTATGATTTTAGGAGTCTGTGCTTCTATCATTCCATTTCCAGATCACAATCAGGTTGGTGTTTTTCAGGTTGAGTTGTGTCGTGATCACTTGTTAGTTATGAAATCTAAGCTTACTTATGGTTTATTTTATTTATTTATTTTTTTATATCATTTGGGCCAAGTATTTCTTAAGTTATTCAAGTAAAAGAATACTATGTTCTACAGAATAGTGTTAAGTTGTGAATTATGATTACCCATTGGGTTTGTACATGGATTCTAGGAATTCATTAAAGTTTTTCTAGTTTTTTTCTTTTTTCAGTGAAATTCATTAACATTTATTGAGGACTAATGATCTCCACATGAAAATCTTTGCTCAAACATTTCGGTCCCAACTGATAAAATAACGCAAGAATGTCACAACTTCCATTATGCATTTTTAACTATCTGGAAAAAATTTTACAAAAGTATTCTATTTTCTAAAATTATTGCGATTTATGATAAATTTGTTTGCTCAGCCTATTTCTAAAAGCCTTATTCTTTTCTTTGATGAAAAAAAAATTCTTCATGAGAAGTTCCCGATTAATTTAGAAATTTGTTTGTTTTTTTACAGTCTCCTCGTAATACTTATCAGTCTGCTATGGGTAAGCAAGCTATGGGTGTCTACATCACAAATTTCCATGTTCGAATGGATACACTGGCTCATGTACTGTATTATCCTCAGAAGCCTCTTGTGACAACAAGATCTATGGAGTATCTTAGGTTTAGAGAATTGCCTGCTGGAATTAACTCCATTGTTGCCATCATGTCCTATACTGGCTACAACCAAGAGGATTCTATCATTTTAAATGCCTCTGCCATTGACAGAGGATTCTTTAGGTAACACTCTCTCTTTTGAAAAGAAGGAAAAAAATTAACATTTTACTACTTACAACAGCATAACATTTTTTACAACTAATAGCAGCTTACATGTTGACCCGTAAAACAGTAATGCACATTAAAGTTTCGAAAAATCAAAAAAAATTTCCTTGAATATTTTTTTTTTTAGTGGAATATTTTGCAGGCATGTAGTATGTAGTTTAAATATAAATTGAGAAATATATAAAAAAAAATTAAATGTACTTCTTAAAAATGCTAAAATGTAAACTGCAATATTTTAATAAAATTTCCAATATTGCCAACTTTCCTTAAATATTATTAAATAAATGCAAGACTCAATCTTAGAAATATAAAGATCAGACTCTTTATCCATCTCACTATAAAATTAACTGTCTGTAATATGAATTATCATTCAATTTATGACAGTACGTACACATTTATTAGTTTATTATTTATCACAAGTTTATTACATGCATGTACAGAGAAAAATAAATAAAATTAAAAGACAAAAGATATTTTCCATAAGAAAAAATATTTCTTGAAAACAGAAAAAAAAAATACTTACATGTGCTTTTGAATGAAAATTGAAAAGAACAATCAATCAAAAAACTCTAATATATTTAACATTTTCAAAAATAATTAAAGTTTGAACGGAATGTACAAAAATATTTATTTTCTGGCTTTTTCATTTTCCAATTTTTTAGTGTACTAGTCAAGTGCAAAAATAAACCTTGCACAAAGACAGAAATAATCAACTGATTTTTCTTCTGTTGCTTCATGAAAATAAAGATTTCAAATCTGTCTTCCATAAAATGAGTGCCATAAGAGTTACACCTTCCTTGAAGGTATTCATAGAAGTCCAAGCTATGAGTTTAATGCTGTGAAATTACTAGAATATTTCTTCTAAGCTTATACAAAAGCTTTCTTCTTTTACATATTCATTCAATCTTTACTTCAGATATGTGAATCAATCTAATAAGCTGAAAATAAAGTCCTTGTAGAAATTTTTTTATGTTGTTAAGGGCAGCTTTAATAATAACAAATTTTAATTAACAATTCTGTTATCGAAATAGAATACATGGGAGAAAGGTATTCTATTGCCATTGAAGCTTCCCTTCTCCAAAAAAATACGTAATTTTATTGACTCAGATTTTATTTTGAATGACAAAGAGGTTTAATTTGCGGTAAGAGATTAAATTTGCATAAAAAATACTTAGTTGTATCTTATAAAAAAGTGTTTTAATTCATGAATTAAAATAGATTTAAATGAATTAGGATTTATATCAGTTAATTGGGAAGCTCTGTTCAGGATATTTAAGGAGATAACTGCCCTCTGTCAACCTGCTGTATGATCACTGAACAATTGTAACAGAATTATTTAAATATAAACAAAGAATCCAATTGGACAATTCATGCCAGAAAATTTGCGCTTTCGTGTTTCTCAGATCACAAAACATGACATTATTGTCCTCATGAAATTTTTGTTTTTCAGATCTGTATTTTATCGTGCTTACAAAGATGCTGAACAAAAGCAGATTGGAGATCAAGAGGAACAATTTGAAAAGCCAACAAGAGAAACATGCCAAGGTGAGCATTGTTATTATTTATTTATTTTTGTTATGATTTGTTGTGTGCAATTTTTTAATATTTTTTCCCCATTTAAGGTATGCGTAATGCTATTTATGATAAATTGGATGATGATGGCATTATCGCTCCCGGTACCAGGGTTTCCGGAGACGATGTCATTATTGGGAAAACCATTACACTGCCTGAAAATGATGATGAGGTTTGTCATAAAATTTCACTATATCTTAATTTATTTGAAAAGATATATATATTATATGTATATATAGCACGATAAATAAATACAAAAAGAAAAATAAGGAAAATTAAATAAATCAATGAGTTTTATTTACTGTGCATAAGCTGCAAGTATATCGAACTCATAAAATAACAGTTTTTTACTTGATATTTTTTACTTAATGTGTTTTTTTATTTATTTATTTTTTTCAAAAACTTTTTTAGTGCTCCTCACTCTATTGTATCGATATATTTTGCTTTGGCTATATTGATAAAATATAAATAAAAAAAAAACACTTCTTTTTGCGGATATAATCGTGTGAGCTGATGTTGAGATTATATCTTCTTTTTTTTCCGTGGATTTTTATTGAAGTTTTATTATTATTGCTATTATTTTGTTACTTTATTCTATTTTAATAATTTTCTTCTCCTCTTTTCATTATTCTGTAAGTGATTGTTTTCTCTATATTTTGAATATTATGTTCATCTCTGTGTTTTCAGCTGGAGAGCACTACTCGCAGGTTTGTGAAAAGAGATGCCAGCACGTTCTTGCGGAACAGTGAAACTGGAATTGTCGACCAAGTCATGCTGACCCTCAACTCTGATGGTTATAAATTTTGTAAGATCAGAGTGCGTTCTGTGCGTGTACCCCAGATTGGTGACAAGTTTGCATCCAGGCATGGTCAAAAAGGAACTTGTGGTATAACATACCGTCAAGAGGTATTCCATTGTTTTCCATTATCTTTAACTTTTACGGCCTAAGCTCACATTAAAAAAAAATTTCTTCAAATTTAAATTTTATTCTTTCTTTAAAAAATGGTGGAGAATTTAAGAGTTATCTCATCTTACAATTCAAACTTTGTTCTGCGATTCAAAGTATTTTATTCAGGGTCCTGAAACCAGCATTAACTAAACATTATAACTTTTAAGGGTGGCCATTGTTAAATTTGCTTCACCCAGCCACTGGCCAATAGTCAAATTTCCTAATTTTGCACTGTAGTCGGCACTCTTTCTGAAAACCTGGAATTCTCGTTGAATTGGAAAAATCCCATCATTTAAATTATTTTGTTGAAAATTTTGTCCTAAAAGTTTCTCTGGATAATAAGCTTTTTCTAAATAAAGAGGGATTTGTGCAAAAATGATATTGTTAGCAGAGTGTTGCATTACTTATGTGTTGAACTTATTTGTTTCCTAGGATATGCCATTTACTGCTGAAGGATTGACGCCTGACATTATCATCAACCCCCACGCCATTCCATCTCGTATGACTATTGGTCATTTAATTGAGTGCCTCCAAGGAAAAGTTTCATCAAACAAAGGAGAAATTGGAGATGCTACACCTTTCAATGATACTGTCAATGTGCAAAAGATATCCAATCTTCTTCAAGAATATGGGTATCATCTGCGTGGAAATGAGGTTTGTACAATTTCTTTCTTTTTCTTAAGAAAAGAATTAAAAAATTTACATTTTTTCAGTGTTGCTAATTTATTATCTTCTTTCCTAACAGGTAATGTACAATGGCCACACAGGCAGAAAAGTGAATGCCCAGATCTTTTTAGGCCCCACCTACTACCAAAGATTAAAGCATATGGTGGATGACAAAATTCATTCAAGAGCAAGAGGTCCTGTCCAAATTTTGGTTAGGCAGCCTATGGAAGGAAGGGCAAGGTGACTCCTATTCTTTTTTCTCCCTTAATTTCTTCATATTTTATTGCCTAATTTGAACCATGGCTTTAATTCTATAATTACGTGCCATTAATTTTATATTAGCTTCGATTTCCCAAATGGTTAGAAAAGTAAGTTATATATTTTTGTAGATATTTATGTGGAACTGATTTGGTGATAATCTGAATTATAACAAAGATTGGTGTTTATCTAAATTTATCATTTAATTTTTTAACTTAGATTCATGTTTTTATTGCTCAGTCAATTTTAATACTCTTTCTGTATAATGATGATTCTCTTATTATTTTTCATTAAACATTTATTATGAAGAAAGAGCCTTGAAATTGAACTACTATTTTTCAAATGTACATGGAGCAGAAGCTCTTGGAGACTTTTACAGATTTATTTTCAGAAGACAAGTACACACATTTTTTACATGGAACATATAATTATTTCTTTCATGTCATGTGATCCATTATATTAAGGTTTTAATACGTTTTCTGTATTATGATGATCCTCTTTTTCTTTCTTTTTTTTTATTAAACATAAGAAAAGAGTAAAGAAATTAAGCTACTATTTGCAAATGTACATGAAGCAGAAGCTCCTGGAGACTTTCATAGATTTATTTTCAAAAAACAAGTACACACTTTTTTCACATAGAGCATATAGTTATTATTTCTTTCATGTCATGTGATCCATAATATCCAGAGTTCTTTGTTAGGGCTGACATTGCGANCTAAAGTAAGAGAGTGGGGAAGATGAAGAAATGTTTGTTTATTTTGATTGTTAAAAAGTGTCCGGGAAATTGACCCTTCCGGAAAAGGGACGTCCGGATATGGGACGTTACACTGTATTTTTAAACTAAATGTAAATGCTACTAAAAATGTGAAGTATGTGGTCAAAGAGATCTTCAGACTGTGCTTACAATATTTTGTTTTTTTATGAGGACAAAAAAGGAAGATGGGTTAAAATAACTCACAATGACTAAATTCAACAAAAAGCTAAATGAGTTCTAATTGAAGCTATTCCATTTCTCAAACATGAAATGTCTTTCCTTTTCAGAGATGGAGGTTTGCGTTTTGGAGAAATGGAACGTGATTGTCAAATAGCTCATGGTGCTGCTCAGTTCTTAAGAGAAAGGTTATTTGAAGTCTCTGATCCATATAGAGTTCACGTATGCAATTTATGTGGTCTTTTAGCCATTGCAAATCTGAAAAACAACACTTTTGAATGCCGAGGATGCAGAAATAAGACACAGGTAATTAACTTTTTCTTTACCTTTAAAAAGATGCTACACCATGGGATAAACCCTTTATGACAAATTCTGTTTCACATACATAATAATTTAAAGTATAGAAAAAAGAATACTTAACCAAACTCAATTGAAGCGTAAACCAAGAATAAAACATGAAGCTCTAAATGCTCTAATGCAAAATCTCTAAATGTAAATAAATTATTCAAGATTGTAGAGTGAGAAAGTAATCTTCTCTCAATGTATTTATGTTTTGATAAAAACATTTTCAGCATTTGAAGCTTCATGTTTTACTTATCATGTTTTGTTTATCGATATTTTTTTTTCTTTCTAAGTGAAACAGAATTTGCCATGAAGGGTTTCTCCAGAAATAAAGCATAACATTTTTACCAGTCAGATTAGTTTTTCATCTATACATTTTGCATTACCATAATGAAAAGTATATTTGTGACTTAAAGCCCTCTTAATATACTGAGAATTTAAATTTTTCTTTTAAATCTCTAAAAATAATGTATAAATTAGTATGATTCTAACATTAATTTAAATTTATTGGTTATGAAAATTCCACTGTAATGCTATTTTCACAATCCCAGTAAAGGTGAGAAGTAAAACAGAAAATTAAGTAATAAATAATAAAGCAAGCCTTATTTATAGTAATAAATTTGAAACATTTCTTTTTAAAATGTTTATCACATTTTCAGTTTCTTGCTATTCAAAAGTCTCTATTATTAAATTAATGAATATATTATAACTATCTAAAATTAATTCAATATCAAAACCATGAATTCAAAAATATAGCAAACATAATAAAATTTATCTTGTCTTTTACAACAATACTTTTGATAAATATATAGTTTCGATATTTTTTTATCCAAAAAAAATTACTTGTGTCTAAAGTATTTTAGATCTTACATAATAGTTAGCATGAAGTTTGGATTTTTTAAAATAATATAGATTTTCACATTCATGGCCGTTTTTCCCTCCGTTTAAAATATGCTTCACCTAATTTGGTCAAGATGATGTTCCCTTGATAAGTCCACAATTATGAACAATCTCTGATATTATAAACTAAATACAGTAAAACCTCGCTACAACAATATTTTTGTGACCAAATAAATATACTGTTGTAAAGGGATATAGTGTTATATCGAGGGTCTACTAACTTTGGGAACACATTAAGATTTTTTTTTAAATTTTAATGTTATATATGCAGGGGTCTGTCCAGGCCGAATTTACTACCGTTTAGCGGTACCTTCACAAATTCAGCTTTAGGAAACAAATTCAATTTTAAGAAAAACGGTAGTTTCACAAAATACTTTATCTTAAAATTTTATTTTTGTATTATTTTTTAATTTTGTTTTATTTGAAGCGATAAATCCACATTTTTACCATATTTTTGTGTTGATTTTTAAATATAATTTTTAATTTTTCACAAATTATGTCTAAATTTTCACAAAAAAGTCTCTCAGAAAAACCTAGGCAGGCCCCTGATATGTATTAAATGACGCCCGGTGGCTGAGCGATAGCTCTTCGCGCTGTCGTGCCACAGGTCTCTGGTTCGATCCTCTGGGCCGGGCAAGGTCGACTCAGCCATTCATCCATTCAGTGGGTCGATAAATGAGTACCAAGCATGCTTGGGAACTAAACACTGGGGGTTCCCCGTTCGGCTGACCACCTGGCCGGAACATCTTTTCTTGCACCCCAGAGCCCAAGGTCAAGAAAACTTAGATGGGCACAGTAAGCCTTGGCCCTCTATGGGCTGTCACGCCACTGAGTTAGACTTCTAATCCAAAGGACTTGTAATCCAATCCAAGTTTTGTTAGACTTGTAATCCAAAGGATACGTTTTTACATTCTTGAAACATCGGGGATTTCGGTATTTTCCGATAACAAGTAAGGGCAATTTCTCTGTCCCAGACGCATTTCCTTCAACTAGGACAGTCTAACGTTCCTTGCTCATTTTATCCCCTGAGCATTTTTCATCCTTAAACATCATAGTCTTATTTGGAAGACATTTAAAAAATAAACCCATATCATCAATATTGAAAACATCATTTTAACTGTATCCTTGAAGTAAATTTGGTAACGTTTCATTTAACCACTGCTCACATACTTCAAGAGGGACAGCTTTAGCTTCTCCATGAAGAGTGCGAAAGACATTGTGTGTGTGTTGCAAAGGAAGGGCATACGAAATTTCAAAGCAATCGG